GAACCGAACCAGGAGGATTTAAATGAAAGGCACTTACTTGATGCTACTGTGCAGCTGTGATAGGGCAATTGCATAAATTAAAGAAAACCTTTGGACTGCACTCCCCACACATAAGAAGTGATGTTCCCACCCCAATTAAGAAAAACTGCATTTTTTGGTTGTAGCTGCATAGTAAATACACTGGAGAAAGGCTTGACTGCTTGGATTCTCTTCAGTAAGCTGTGTGTGCATAATAGGCCATTCTAAAGGGTCAAGATATCTGCAAATATTTAGAAGCAGGAATTCTCAAACTTGGTGCTGGGAAGGTTCCAACTGAAACTCCCCACAAACAATGCTCCACAATATTCAGCCGCAAATTGTCATAAAATGATCGATGAGAGCAACTGTTGTTGACAATGAATGAATTCAAAAATCTCAGGTCCAATTTAGATAATACTACCATTGTGGGTTGATTGCTGACCTAGGGAACTGGCTTTTTGGCATCAGCTTCCACACCAGGCCCTTCATATCTCTCTGTCCTGCATCGCACGAACCACCTTTATACTTGCCAATATAGCATCCCCTCTTGGACGACATTGAGGTGGAAAGTAGAATAGTAACGCTTAGCACTTTATTCATGGAACTTGTATATTTTGTCATATTTTTGATAAAATGCAATCATTCCCCTATTGCAAACCAGGAAGGGGCAGGACTGAGAGAGAGATTGGCAAAGGACCTAGTTCCAGGGTTCATGGTCGAGGTCTGATTTGAACCACAGACTTCCTTATTTGCGGGTTAGGAAACAAGTCTACAGAGATTTACACAGAAGTAAATTCCATTTTATTCAATTGCACTTACTCCTAGGAAAGTATTCTTGGGATTACAGCCTCAGTGTTTTAGCCATTGCCTTACATGCTCCTTCCCCACATAATCCAGACCAGCTGCATGATGCTAGGGTAACAAGGGAGAGAAGTCTCCATACATTAAAACACCCTTACCTTTTCTCTCTCTCTCTCTCTCTCTCCCCTCCCCCCTTAGGGTTGCCAGCTCCAGGATGGGAAATACCTGGAGAATTTGGGGATGGACCCCAAGGAGGGCGAGGGACTTCAGTTGGGTATAATGCCATAGTGTTCACCTTCCAAAGTGGCCATTTTCTCCAGGTGAACTGATCCCTGCTGTCTGGAGACCGGTTGTAATCCCTGGAGATCTCCAGTCACCACCTGGAGGTTGGCAACTCTACCTACTTTGGTTCCCCTTCTACCAGTTGGCCCTTCACTGCTGTATGTGTTTGTAAAGCAGAACTCCACCACCATTGGTGAAGATGTAACTCTGGCTCCTCCTCTTCCTGTTACATAACTCTGACGTCACATGATTTCCTGTTATGTGGTTAATGCTTAGTTGGTTCCATGCTGCTACCTGGGTGTTAAATGTGAGTCCCGGGCCTGTAAGGCCTTAGGTGTTTCTCCTTTGACCTGCCCAGGGATTCTTCCCAGAGGACTTTATACTGCATGGTGAACCTGCATGGATTCTATTCTCTCTCTTTTCCTTTGATTTGCTTTTCCTCAGGCCTCCCTTACAGGCCTGACCTGATTGGTTGGTAGGCCCATGATGACATAGTTTGATAGCCAGCAGACCAAAGCAATGCATTCTGTCCTGGTTAGGTATTAAAATGTAGGCCTGGCATGGCTATATATTTTGTTGATACCTTTCCTTAGGGTTGCCGGTTCTGACTTGGGAAATTCCTGGAGATTTTGGGGCAAAATGCCATGGAGTCCACCCTCCAAAGCAGCCATTTTCTCCAGGGGGAACTGATCTCTGTCGTCTGGAGACCAATTAAAAATCTGGGAGATCTCCAGGTCCCACCTGGAGGCTGGCAACCCCAATAGCAAAATTTCAGCCCAAATTAGGTTATTACAACAGCCTCCCCCCCCCTGAGTTTTTAACACATTTTAGTTAATTTTTAGATAAAGACCTCCTAAACAAACAATTTAGGAGCAGTGGAATGTTAATAATATATACTGCAGGCAGAACGATCAAAAAAGACATATGGTACCCTAAGAAAGTGAAAATTTGCCTTAAGGAAAACACACACACACACAAGTAAATAGGGTTGCCAACTCTGAGCTGGAAAAATCTTGGAGCTTTGGGGGTGGAGCATGGGGACAGCAGGTTTTGGAGAGGGAGCTCAGTGTGTGTGTGTGGGGTATAATGCCATAGAGCTGGGGTGTCAAACATAAGGCCCATGGGCCGAGGCTGGCCCGTCCAGGGCTCTTATGCAGCCCGCGAGCAACTGGTGCAAGGGAGGGAACAGGAGGCTGCTCGGAGGAGTGGAGCCACTCCAATAGTGGCTTTAGCATGGCAGAACAACCTCAACAGCAGCAGCCAAACAGAAGAAGAAGAGGAGGAGGAGATTGGATTTATACCCCGCCCTTCACTCGGAGTCTCAGAGTGGCTTACGAACTCCTTTCCCTTCCCCTCCCCACAACAGACGCCCTGTGAGGTAGGTGGGGCTGAGAGAGCTCTTTTCAGAGCTATCCTTGAGAGAGCAGCTCTGACAGAACTATGGCTTGCCCAAGGTCATCCAGCAGCTGCAAGTGGAGGAGTGGGGAATCAAACCTGGTTCTCCCAGATTAGAGTCCGCACACTTAACTACAACACCAAAGTGGCTTCACTTCTGGGACAGCCTCACTGGTAAGTTGGGAGCCACGGCAGCCACTTGACCTGCAGCTCCAAAGATGCTGGCCCGGATGGCCGCAGGGATCAGCGTTTGCATGTGGGGTGTGTGTGTGTGCAGACAATCCTCTGTTGGGGCCTGCTGGCAGCCATCTCTGCTGCTGCTGCATTCATGTCCCCCCATGTGGCAGATGTGCTTTGGCCCATGAGGGAGCCTTCTTTGGCAGTTTCTGCCATACCAGTTTGGTGTAGTGGCTAAGTGCGCCGACTCTGGGAGAATCGGGTTTGATTTCCCCTGCAGCTGCTGGATGACCTTGGGCAAGCCATAGTTCTGTCAGAGCTGTTCTCTCAAGGACAGTTCTGGAAAGAGCTCTCTCAGCCCCACCTACCTCACAGAGTGTCTGTTGTGAGGAAGGGAAGGGAGTTTGTAAGCCACTCTGAGACTCCCTTGGGTAGTGAAGGGTGGGGTATAAATCCAATCTCTTCTTCTTCTACTACTTCACATCAGGGGCCTAGGCCTGCCACCGAGCCTGGGACTCGGCAGCTGGGCCTCCCTTTCCCGTGGACCACCCAGCACACGGCTTGGCCTAACAAAATGACATTTATGCCAGATCCGGCCCTCATAACAAATGAGTTAGACACCTCTGCCATAGAGTCTGCCCCCCCCCCCCAACAGCTATTTTCTGCAGGAGAACTGATCTCTGTAGTCTGAAGATCAGTTATAATGCCAGGAGAGCTCCAGGCACCACCTGGAGGCTGGCAACCATAAAGTGAAGTAATTTGTACAGAATCTGCTACTGTGGATGAAAAGGATTGGGAGCGTAGCCTTCCAAGGCCCTGTTCATTTATTGCATTAATGCCCTTCTTTTCTCCCATCATGGGATACATGGGCATGCATGGGGTTTCCCAGTGGTGGTGAACCTATGGCACAGGTGCCAGAGGTGGCACTCAGAGCCCTCTCTGTGGGCACGCGTGCCATTGCCCCAGCCAGGCCCAGGCCATCATAAAAGTGTCGAATTCTCTGCCAAATAATTTTAAGAAGAAGAAGAGGAAGAGATTGGATTTATACCCCGCCCTTCACTTGGGAGTCTCAGAGCGGCTTACAAACTCCTTTCCCTTCCCCTCCCCACAACAGACACCCTGTAAGGTGGTTGGGGCTGAGAGAACTATGACACAAACTGCCCTTTCAGGAACATCTGTGCCAGAGTTTGTGACTGACCCAAGGTCACATCAGCAGGTGCAAGTGGAGGAGTGGGGACTCAAACCCGGTTCTCCCAGATTAGAGTCCGCACACTTAACCACTACACCAAACTGGCTCTCTGGTTTCATTTAAGTAAATGAAAGCATTTAGGATTGCTTTCCTTACTTTGTTTGGATCATCTTAAGTTAATGTATGAGTTGTTTTTTCTAAAGTAAAACCTCAGTATTCAGGTTAAATTGCTGTATTGGCACTTTGCGATAAATAAGTGGGTTTTGGGTCGCAGTTTGGACACTCGGTCTCTAAAAGGTTCGCCATCACTGGGGTTTCCTGTCCAGGCACAGACGACTGAGCTTCAACAGGGTTGCTGTGTAGACTAGAGTATGTCCTCCAACCTTCCCCAGGGACCTTTACCTGGAAAAGAGTCCCAACATATGGTGTGAAGGTACACATGGCAGATAAGTGGGTCTTAGTCTGGTGGGGGCACGGGCAGGACAACTCCTTCTAGGAACACTGTGTCAGCCACCCTGAATTCCACAGAAGAAAGGTGGGATAAATACTGTAATAAGTAAGTCCTACCGGGTAAAAACGGGATCACTCCCAAGTAAATGGGCTAATGTTTGCAGCCCTAAAATTTCCCAGAGTTTCTTCTGCCATTACCCCAGCCTTCTGGTCACCGAAAACGTAAGCTCTTTTACAGATATACGTTACTTTGTAAATATATGATCTTATTTTCTTTGCGCATCTTGCTTTCTGGAACCCAGACGGTAATTCTCTATACCTAATAGCCCCGGTCCAGAGAAAACGAGGCAAACCTGTTGCGACGACTGTGACTAATTTCCTCCGGATTGGAACGGGAGCATGCTACAGCAAAGACCCAAAATTTAATACACACTTTACGGAACACATTTATTTAAAAAAAGGCATTCACCCCCGCCACAAGCATAAAACAACTAACAAAAGAAACATTGGCCTTTCCAGTTTATTAGTTAACCATTCAAACGGCAAGCGGTGATATGCAATACTTTAACCTTTCTTTGCCGTTCAACCTGTTTTTCAGTTCCTGTTGCTTAACACCTGTTTCAGATGAACAATATTTGGAAAGTGTTTTCGGCGCCCCAGTTTTCAAAGTCCAGTTGGGAAAACGTACCTGTTTTAAAGACAATAATGTGCGTCTGCAGCCTCTGCTTCTGTTTGAGGGAACCGTACTGCTCTTCGAGTAAACTTACGTCCATCTTGGTCGGCTGCCCGGAACAATCTGAGGCTGGCTGGTTTGACGGATGAGTCAACAAGAAAATACCGCTCACATATTTATAAGCCTTTACCATCTGTTCCCATAAGAAAGACAGAATCAGGCAGAAGCAAGGCATTTCCCTCATGATGCTTGCCCCCAAGCAAAGGGCGTCCGTCACATCTGAATGAGCCACACGCAAGGAGGCTCTCTGGCATTGATCGGGTTCTGTTCTGTACCTGGTGTGGAGCCGCTGGATTTGATCGCGGGCCAACTTGTCTTTGAACACATCCAGCGTGTTCTGAACCTCTGAACGCAGACTGAAATGACAAGAACTGGTCAACTGGAACCGGTGTTGACTTAAGGCCAAACACCGGAGCTCTTGCCAAAAGCCACAGAGAAACACAGAAGTTCATTAAGCGCCGCCAACTGCACCAAGGGCTGGGAGATGCTGGTTTCTGGAGCAATTGTGGTGTTTAAAGTGACACTGCTATGCGTTGTGTCAGCCTCATTGGTTTCACTTTGCCTGTGACTTTTGTTTCATTTTATATGATTTTATTATTGTGGCAAATTGGCTGGTAACTTGTTACTTTGTTTGCTTTTCCAAGGAAGACTTTTATTGCTGCTTCCCCTTTTCCTGCATATTAAAGTGAACGACAGACAAATCATGCAACATGTACAGAGTCAGCCATGGGTGCCCCTTGTCTGCATGAACATTTTGACGGGGGGGACGGGGGGGGGGACGGATTATTGTAGATTTGCCTTAGTCATAGTTCATTGCAGACACTCCTAGAACGCTACTGGGGCTTCTTTCACTTTACAATAAAGTGTAGCAACAGCAATAAGTGTTACCTGGGCAGAGTCTCACAAGGTAGGGAGATTTTCAAGGAACACCTATCTCTATTTTGAAAAAGGTAGGTTCTATCATATGGGCTGCGGTCACACGGAGCATTAGGCATGCTAGAGAGACGGAAGATAGGCGGATTTTCCGGGCGCGATCTCACCACCACATCTGGGAAGCGTAGAGTTCCTATGGCGAACCTGAGGCTTCCCGCTGAAGATGCGCGGTTAAACCCAAGGTTCTAGTTTCCGGTAACCGCGGGGCAAGGGCGGGCGTCTGATCGCGTTTCCGGTGGTAGTTCCGGTGCCCACCCATGCCCCCTCGTATAAAGGTGGTTTTTTTCCAACTGTCCATGGGATGCGCACAAACACCCAACGGGGCATGCGCACACTTTGGTGTCTGGAAAACAAAACACCCGCTTGCCGCGGCGCAGGATTGTGGTGTGCTCGGCACCTCCCCCCTACCATGGGACCTCCACGGTACGTCTGCTGGCGCAACCGCACGTTATTTTGCCCTGGGGCAAACAGCCACGCCTCCCCCCCCCCGCGATATCCGGCCTGTGTGACTGGGGCCATGGATGATTTTTTAAAAATAACCTCAGTCTTAGCACTGTCAACAGAGCCCATGTCAGTGTGGAGAAGAAGAGCTTGGGCTGCTGTTATTCCAGGGCCAGCCCATGGTTAGATACCTACGTACAGTCAAGTCTCAACTGAATGATGGCGACCCCAATAAGGGGCTTCCGAGGCAAGTGAGAAGCAGATGGCCTTCCTCGGCAGAGTCTTTCTGGGTGGTCCCCCCTTCAAATACCAACCCTCCTTAGCTTCCAAGATCTTAACAAGATCAGGCTATACCATGCCCCATAGCCCTTGAATACAGGATGTAAAAGAAGGATTTTTTAAAAATACAAGTGAAGGAAATAATTTTTTAAAATGGTAGCCAATGCATAAAAAATTTAAAAAATTATTTCTTTTACATTCCTTCTTGAATGGGACTATAAGCTCACACATTCTCCCTTTCTTCCCGTTGATCCTCACAACAACCCTATGAGGTAGGTAACTTCAGTTTAACAAACCTCTTTCATTCCTGTATGCATCACACTGAAGGATACCTCATCGGATTAATGACGTCTGAATGGGAACTCTATCCCTTATGAATGCATAGAGTTTTTGATATGCCAGGAGTATTCAAACACAGAAATCACCTTCCTGAAGTCTGATGAGGTTACAGCCCAGGAATGCGAATCTTCTAAAAGCATAAATTGGCTCTGACAGAGGAAGGAACAGCTCTTTGCAGAGGTATGCAAACACTGTCTTTCTTCTGAACGATATGTTTGGCTAAATGTTAAAGCAGTAGGCCTTGGTCACCTTTTCTAAGGTACTTGTCTGTAGAAGAAGAAGAGATTGGATTTAGTCCCCACCCTTCCCTCCTTGAAGGAGTCTCAGAGAACCTTACAATCTCCTTTCCCTTCCTTTCCCCGCAACAGACACCTTGTGAGATAGGTGCAGCTGAGAGAGCTCTTTCGAGAACTGCCCCTAAGAGAACAGCTCTGGGAGAACTTGTGACTGACCCAAGGTCACACCAGCAGCTGCTGGTGGGGAATCAAACCCGGTTCTCCCAGATTAGAGTCCGCACTCCTAACCACTATACCATACTGGCTCTCTGTAGGAAGAAGAGGCAAGAGAAATTGTGAGAGTTTCTGCCAATCCTTGGGGGGGGGGATCAAAATTACACACTTTCCTTTTATCTTCCAAATAACCTCAACAGGAGAGATAGGGGGGAGCTGAGGGTAAGTAGGGTTGCTACATCTCACCTTTCTTAATGTGCATGCAATTTTGGACTGTGTCATCTAACTCTCTTTCCATTTTTTTCTATCCTTAGGGGTAAAACACCGTCACCAAAACTCAGCAAACCTGCCCTCTAGCCTGAGTCGCAACTCATGCAAGTGCTCTGCAGCTGTCCTCCAGCTTAGAAAAATATTTTTTATAAGTCAGAAGCATGCATTTATGGTATTCTGAGATCTCTGGGTAGGTCAATGGAACTGCTGTTGTGGCAGCCTCATCAAAAGGCTCGAGTTTGTATCGGATCGCGTCTAATCAATAAGTCAACATTAATTTTCAAACGGAGTTTGATAAGGCTCACGTGTGCCGTGAAAAGACGGGGCCAATCTGTTGTTATTCTAAGCCAGCCTTTAGCTATATTGTTATCTAAATCGCTGTATAATACTATTGAACACTTATCTTTGAGTCAAAGGACTCTACGGTCAAATGCTGAGGACCCGTAGCATGGAGACACAGTCTTGGGAGAACCCGATCCCCCTGGGCATTTGCTTAAAATGCCTCCTTTAAAGGCAGAAGATCAGTGTGGCAAGAAAATGTACAGAAAAATCTTGTGTGTGTCAGGTCACAGAGGGTTGCCGGCCTCCAGGTGGGAAATACAAAAACGGAGGGTCACAGTGTTAGGAAGACATACAAAAAATATATATCACAGTGTACAATAAATATATGTTTATGGTAAAATAATTTTATGCTTTACTAGGAAAAAGGCCCGTTGTGGAAATAAATGCAACGACCTCTAGAAAGAGGCTCTGGGCGGGTGCCCCGGCCTTGGACACTCAATGTCAATTTGCTGTGGTGACCTCAGCACGGTATAATGACACTGAGTCCACCATTTTCTCCAGAGGAACTGATCTCTGCTACCTAAAGAACCGTTGTAATTTTGAGTGATCTCCAGTCCTCACCTGGAGATCGGCAACGATGGCTCCCCAGAAGGGAATAGTTGGTTTGGAGGGTGGAGTCTATGGCTTCGTACCTGTCTGAGGTCCCACGCCTCCTGAAACCTCACCCTCTCCAGGCTCCATCCCTCACTTCTCCAGGAATTTCCCACCTGGAGTTGGCAACCCCATCTCCTTCCCAGCCAATCATCAACCTACCTTTATTTCCCCCTCACTCTTCAGCTTTCCACCCCCCACACACCTGCAGCCTCTCCCGTGCTCTGAAGCCCTGACTGCTACGTCACATTGGCTGTCATACTGGGGCCACCTCAGCAGCATATAAGGATACAGAGCCCACCATTTTCTCCAGGGGAACTGATCTCTGCCATCTGGAAAGCAGTTGTAATTCTGAGTGATCTCCAGCCCTCACCTGGAGATTGGACACATTTTACCTTAGAACAGCAAACTGTTTAGAATGTTAGAGGCAAAAGCCAATCAAGTCGCATATGCAAACGACCTCTGTGTTCCGAGGCAAAGGCCAATGAGGCTGCATATGCAAATAACCTCTGTGTTCTGATTGGCTATGGGGGGGAGAGGATTAGCAAAATGTTTAGAATGTTGGAGGCAGGACTCAGGCAAAGCAGCCAGTAGATAGGGAGACCCTCTGAATGACAGATCAGTGAGCGAACTGATTTTGGAGCGTGTGGAATGTTCTAGAGAAGTACCACCACCATTCAGCTTTTATTTATAAAGGAGATTCTTTTTCTTTTTATATTTTTCAATACTGTTGTCTAAATATTGGTATCAAATATACGTTTCACCCAAACAATATATTGAGTGCAGGTTTACGTTCAGACAGCACCTTGTCAGTATCACTATCACGAGCTATCTTAAGAGCCTTGGTGCGCACAAAGAAAAATTATTGCGCCTTATGTCTTTTATGCATACATCACGGTCCTTGAAAAATCAATTCGAAATGGGTCAGTTACTAGAGTCCGGTGGGACTAGTGACCGTGATACTGACAAGGTGCTGTCTGAATGTAAACCTGCACTCGATATATTGTTTGGGTGAAACGTAGTTTTCTCCATGTATTGCTTTGGTGAAATATATTTTTGATAACATCTGATACCAATATTTAGACAACACTACTGAAAAATATAAAGAATAAAGCATAAAATTGTTTTACCACAAACATATATTTATTGTCCACAGTGATATACATTTTTGTAAGCCTTCAGGTGGGGCCTGAAGACCTCCCAGAATCACAATTGATCTCCAGACAACAGAGATTGGTTCCCCTGGGGAAAGCGGCTGCTTTGGAGGGTGGACTCTGTGGCACTGTACTCCCCCACGCTGTTTCCTGTCCCGAAATCCTGCCTTCTCCAGGCTCTAATCCCCAAATCCAGGGGCGGATCAAGGCTCACTGGTGCCCTAAGCACTGACCCATCTTGGTGTTCCCCTCCTTTCCACACTGACCCCAGTCCATTTTAGTTGTTGACCTGTCTGACCAGATATACAATGCAGGTTGCAGCAATACAAAAATGTATTCATATGATAACACAATACACTGTATAAACTAAGCTTTTCACCCTTTTC